GAACAGTTATTATGATCAAAGGTAATATTATATTAGAAAATGTATAAAAATGAATTCAATTTATTAAGGATGCAAAACAATTAAATGGGAACAGTGGCGTATATAGAAATAATTTTTTGTTATTTTTCAACAGGCTACGAAACATTATAACTGATAAGTTATAAGTTATAATAGTACATAAGAAAATATATTGTTGTTCTATTTAAAAAGACTGTAATTTCGGGGATGGATGGGCTGCAGCCCACTGTGCCCACCCCCTATATACGCCACTGAATGGGATGAGGTCCCGCACGGACTCTTGTATGTGATTGTAATTTATGAAGGACATAAAAATATAAAATAATGTTTAATTAAAAATAATATTGTGTTTAAGCTGGGTCTACAGTCAATTTTAAATTACAAACTATAAAGTCTTAATATAAATAAAAATATAGTCAGATAGGTATCTGTTTTGGTCTTTGTAAATATGCGCGGAAAAAATTAGATTTAGTACAATGTAAAAAAAGTGGGAAGGAAGACTTGACAATTCTTTGACACTAAGATATTAAAACACAAAATCATATTTTAAATTAAAACTATTGATTTTATACATTTTCTATTTAAAAAAACTTATAAGTATTGAAAACCTTATAAAAACTAAAAAACCTAATAAAATAATATTATATTTTATTTTAAAATACATTTCATAATTTTTTGTGGTAAAAAATGCATTAATTAAGGTTAGCCGAGCTTAAGTTTTTAATTATACTGATACAACTCTAGCTGGCAGTCTTTAAGACCGTGTTAAAAACTATGATAATTAGTTAAAGTCTAATTTCCCGACCTATCCTAACCTAATGCCAGAGCCGTTTGATCATGCATTTTGTAGTTCTCTGAACCACCAAAAATTATGGGTGGTGGGGGGGGGGGGGGGTTATTTTAATAGGTAGGTACTTGGTCTTGGTAATCACTAATCAGTGTCTGGTATGGTCATATAGGTAATATAAAAATGGTTAGTTTGATGGCCAATTCATTATTAGCAGCAAATATATACAATCACATAGGTACATTAACAATCAAATTATGAAGTTATAAACAGCTTTATGACGAAGAAGGTGGGTAAGTGGATGTCACTCTGCTGTTCAGTATCTTACAAGTGGGTCACTGTATAATGGATGGTATTAATTTGAATTCAATGATATAATATCATTGTATACGAAATACGATTCTGAGAGGTGACAGTTTGTCAGTGTGGATATCTTATATTTATATTGTTAAATATTATTACTTATAATTAATACGGTAGCCGGTTGAATTAATATTATAAAAAGGTGGGCAAGTGGATGTCGCTCTGCTGTACAGTAGGTTACAAGTGGGTCACTGTAATGGATGGTGTTAAATTTGAATTCAACGATATAATATCATTGTATAAGAAAAACGATTCTGAGCGAAAACGGTCAGTCAACCTATGATATTACGAAGTAGGTATATATTTGATGATATTAAGGTGAATAAAGTAATTTATATATAATCTATTTACGTGGAATCTTGTTTTAAATTTTCAATCCTTAGCTATAAAAGTTGAACGTTTTATACATTTTTAACTACAAAATTTATATTAAATTTTAAATTTGATAAATTTTGTCAAAATTTGAATCTTAAATACTTATAAAAAAAATTGTGATTATGATTTTTAATATTTTTCAACTGCTCTTGTAACAATATATTAGGAGCTTTGCATTAAATTTTCACGCTTTTTTACCCAATAAATAAAATGTTATTGATATTTATTAGAAAAAAAAACTAAATATATTGAAGACTGACAATGTCCGTAAACAACTCAAAAAGAGTCAAATTATTTTCAAAATTGTATGGTGAATAGAAAATGCCAATATAAACATTCAGTGAAATTTTAAAGTATCTACAGTCATTCGTTTTATAATTACAATAAAATAAGAAAATAGTTTCATGAGAAATCGAGTGAATATCAAATATTGTAAAAATATGAGTTTCAAACGCTCATAAAAATTTAATTTGAGTTTCTTGTAGAAATTTTTTTTTTGATAAAGGTAGACAAACTAACGAGAAATCTTGAATTACTTTTTCAGACCTTAGATTTAAAAAGAAAACATTTTAGGAATTTCTAACTCAAAATAAATTGCACATTTTCGTGAATTTTACGTATTTTGTCAATATTTGAACTTAAAATGCTTATAAAAAAAAACTGTGAATATTTATTTTTAGTAACTCGTCTAATATGCTACCTACCATAAAATGGTATCTATCAAAATACTGTATGCGTGTAGTATGCTACCTACCATAGTTATTTTTATTTCGTTTCATTTTATCGCGGGAAAGTACATTTGAGTCATTACGATAAGTAACATATTATAACAGGTGTACAAAATTATAGCTTATTATAAACCACTATGATAACTTTACTGATCCACCAAGTCCCATGGGCCATGATAACTTACTTTTAGATATATTATTTTAGTCTATGTTGTGTTTGTGTTGTGTTCGGGTATGCGTCCTAATCGTTGCGAGTTTAAATTTTTATGTGATACTGACGATATTGACGATGATTATTCAACTCAAAAAAATTACGGTACTCGCATTCAAGGTCCATGGATTTTTGGTATGTGTTATAAAAATGTTGATGGGGTTCTAGAACGAAGATTTTTTAAAGTGAAAAAAAGAGATAAGGCAACTTTATTACAAATAATACTAAATGAAATAGAACTAGGATCAATTATTTATTCAGATCAATGGCGAGTATACAGTTATACCTATACTTTAAAAGATATAGACTATCATCATGAAACCGTCAATCGTCGTTCCGAGTTTTTTGTTGATCCTACAACAGACGCACAAACACAAACGATCGAGTGTATATGGAGACATGCAAAACTAAATCCAGAATTAAAACCCGAGGAGCAACAGATTTGTTAGACCGACAGTTAAAAGCAGAATGGTAATACGCAACACGACTTATTAGAAGTTTTCTGGGATGACCGATGATGTAAAAATAATATACAATGTATGATAATGTATTATAATGACATATTATAAAGTACTTGACAACAATAAATTAATAAATTATTTAGTAATAAACTGTTATTAATATTATTGTCAATTTGTTATTGATCAATAATCCGTAAACTTTTTGTGGTAGGCATCGTTATACGATAGGTAGCATACTAAGCACCAACGAAGTAGCGGTAGGTAGCATATTAGACGAGTACCGATTTTTAATATTTTTCATTTGTCTTTGAAAAAAATATATTAGGAGCCTTCTATTAAATGTTCAACCTTTTTTAAACAAAAAATAAAATTTTATTGATATATATAGAATAAAAAATTTAAAAAAATTGGAAACTGAAAATTTCCTTAAACAGCTCAAAATAATTCAAAATATTTTGAAAATGTTGTGGTGTATAGGAAATACTAATATGAACATTCAGTCAAAATTTCATCTATTTACGGTAATTTGTTTTAGGGTTAGGTACACCAAAAACCAAAATCGACTTAAGCGAAAACCGATTTTGCGTACAAATTCTCGTTTTTCCTTTAATTAAATTAAGAAAATTTTCTTTTGTTTTTCAGGGCGCTTTTGAAAACTACTGAGAAATTCGACCCCCCCAAAATACCAACTAGATTCACTTTTCTACCAGAAAAGATACCGTTGAACAAAATCTAAGCACTTTTACCGTCCTATAAGACACAAAAAAATTTTTAAAAAAAAACAAAAAACACACACACAACATTGTAAAATAAATAATACATTCATCACTCCGCTCAGAATATAAAAATAGTCACATAAAGTATGAGACAATGGGACATTATGTCGTTATAAGAAAGTCGCAATAAATTTTGTAGGTAGGTACCTACCTACGAGAAATGTATTTTAATAATTTCGTTATTACTGAACTATACTCTGTAATATGAAATTGACTGAAATGTATTCACTTAGGTATACTGAATTCCTTACCTACGTATTTGACATTGTTAGAATAACTATTCTACCTTCACACTTCTTCTTACCCCTTCTCACACAAGTACACAATTATACAAGTTCGGCCAAAAACTTAACATTCTTTTATCTGCTACTCTCACTCCACTTACATACCCTAACCTTACATTTATTTTTCATCTTTCGCCATACCACACACTTTCTATTCACTCAATCTCTAGTTACCTACAAGTCGTACTTGATCATCGTACTTGATTATCGGTGAAAATATTTAAATTTAATTGGACAAATTACCTACTCAAAATAATTACATTCCAAAAAATATCATATCCGACCAATTTCCTAATTTTAATCTTTAATCACGACTTTATTGATAGCCAGAATAGTGTTATACCAGTATAGTTACGATACAAATAATTGAAAAATAAGAAAATACATACCCCGTGTCCGAATCAAAATCTGCTATCAAACTTAGTCCTCCAAACACTGCAACGTTCACACATTTCATTCTGCTTATGATATTTTATACACAGTTGGAAAATCTTGACTGACGAATACCATCTCTGAAATAACACGCAGCCTGCAGTAAAATGTTCAACAATATTCATATATTTTTATGAGTTATGACCTAAGCGTTACGGATATCATATTTTATATGTATAATGTTTAATTTGTATTATACCTACCCAGAGCCGTGCCGTGGGGGGGGGGCCTAGGGGGCATATGCCCCGGGCGCATGGTTTAAAGGGGCGCCAAACATTTTTTTTTTATAATATTTTAAACTTTACATAAATAAAATATATGAGAAAGATTATTGTTTTACAATTATTTTGGACCATTACAAATTTTTTCTGAACAAATTTCTGACTATGTTTGAGGAGTAACAATTACTAATTAGTCAACCAAACGTTTAATTCTTGTTATATTATTGGCTTTATAATAAATTATCGTATTCTTTATCTCAAAATCGACTGCACGTCGAGCACGCGAAGTGCGATAAGCGAATGTCGAGAATTGTCGTGGACAGGGCTATGATAACGGCGCAAACATGGCGGGAAAATATCAAGGTGTACAAGCTCGATTAAAAGAGATTAATGAACATGCTCAGTTTGTCCCTTGTGCTGCACACAGCCTTAATTTAATCGGCGTACATGCTGCTAGTGTATCAGTAAAAATGATTTCATTTTTCGGTATTGTACAAAATATATTTAACTATTTTTCTGGATCAACAAGTCGCTGGGAAGTACTAATGCGGTGTTTGATAATAACATTAAAAACGCACAGTGACACACGCTGGGCATCTAAATATAATGCAGTTCATTCGTTGTATTGTCAATTTGGCGGTGTGATAAAAGCTTTACGTGACATATCTACCAATCCAATTTTTGGCGATGGGGTTGCTAATGCAGAAAGTATATTGAAACAGTTTGATTTGGAATTTGTTTATTTTTTAGTCATGTGGGATAAAATATTGAATCAAATATATCGTGTAAATAAATTATTACAAAGCTCAAATATTTCAATAGATCAGGCTTCAAAAATGATAAATTGTTTAAATGTTTCTCTCCAAGAAATGCGTGATAGTGGAAATGAACAAATTAAAACTGAAGCTATTAGTATTTGTGATAAAGTTGGAATAAAATCTGAATTAAAAATCAAAAGGACAATAAAAAGGAAAGTTATGAGTGGAGAAAATTCATCGGGTGAAGATATTTCTGCAGATCAATTTTTAACATTGGAATACTACAAAGTTCTTGATAATATGATGGCTCAAATAAAATGGAGGTTTGAACAATTATCAAATATTGCTGATGATTTTCAATTCCTTTCTGCTCATTCACTATCTGTTACACCAGTTGAAAAATTGAAAAAATATGCAGCTGATTTAGCTATCAAATACAACGAAGATATTGACCAGGAAATAATTAACTTTATATAATTTGTGATTTTTATCATTTTTAATTATTTAATACGGTATAAATTAATAAATTATACCTAACTATTTTGTTTAATAATTACTATTACAATTAACTTTAGTTTTTTGTCAAATTAATGTTCAAAATACGTTGTAAAAAAAAAATTAAATTAAATTAAATAGGAATGAAACGCATTATGATAAATAAAATAGGGGGCGAATATTTTTAATTTTGCCCCGGGCGCCAAATCGTAACGGCACGGCTCTGTACCTACCTACCTAACTATTATGTGTTAGTTTGTATTTAAGAGATGACTACGGGAGCAATGAATGTTTTGATTTTACAATGATTCTCGTATAACGAATTTCTTATTTTGTCGTTATTCAACAACTCCTATTAACCGTCGGTATTTAAAATGTCCATCAAATGTTTAAACTATAATTTTCTATACAATATAAAATGTTCAAAATATTTCGACTCTTTTTCAGTGGTTTATAGACATTTGAATTATGAAATGTTTTTAGTTCTGTATTCTATAAATGTCAATAAAATGTTATTCGTTGGGTCAAACAGCTTAAAAACCACACAAAGTTCCTCGTAAGTTGTTATAATAGGAGTTAAAAAATATTAGAAATACATAGGCACGTTTTTTTTTATAGCCATTTAAAGTTCAAACTTCTAAAAAATGTATCATAATCTTGACAATTTTCAAAATATTTTGTTGTCTGATATTCATAGAAAAATTTCTTTGTTTACCTATAGTATAAAATGTAATAAAAGTTTCCTCATAAGTAGTTATTATAATAGCAGTTGAGAAACAATAAAATCAATAGACATGGTTTTTTTATAAGTACCTAATTAAAGTTCAATTTTTAACAAAATTTATCAAATTGATAATTTACAAATTTCTATTTAGTAGTTAAAAATATATAAAATGTTCAACTTTTATTGCTAAGGATTGAAAATGTAAAACAAGAATTCTTATAAATAATCATATAATAAGTTATATAAATAGACATTATAAGTTCAAATTTGGACGAAATTACTTATTAAAACAAAGAATAACGATTTTAGTTATTTTATTGTAATTTAAAAATAGTATCCGGTATTGTGGTTATAAATTATAATCATGATAAATTATTTCACGCAAATTTAAAATATTTTACGTTTTATTATTTTTTCATCGTAAAATATGATTTATTTGTTACCATGCATTTTAGAAAAAATTAAAGTGAAATTAAGCCCCAAAAGAATATGAAAACAAACTTACTTTAATTATCGATTCTTTCGGAGGAATCCGTGACGTGTGTGAACTGTGACGCCGATGAGAAAACACTCCAGAATATAATAAAACTTTAAATATTTTGATTTATAAAAAATAAAATTATACGGAACGCAGTAAGTTTTTTACTAATGTGTGCTTTGCCCATTGAAATTTTAGAATTTTTAATCGACTGTGTCGTCTGCAACGAGTTTGAGATTTGCCATAGAATATAAATGATAGATATTATATTATACTAGGTAACGTCAATATGATGAATCCACGGATATAATGTAATGCAACTTTTTATAACAAAGAGTTCCGTGTTAAGGTGTTCCTACCTACTAGAAATGTATTATCAGGGGCGGAACTAGGGGGGTGAAGCCGGGGATTGATCCCCGGGCGTAAAATTTTAGTGGGCGTAATTTTTCTTTAGTTCTTTATTTAATGCTTGGTGATAGAAGTTAAGAAAACATTTTTATTTCACATTATTTGTTTATCATGTTGTAGTGGTGACGTTGGAATTAATGAAAAAAAAAAATAAAGTTAATAGTAAGATTATGAATAGATTCGTATTAGTATACTAAGTATACTGGCATTAGCATACCTACTGCAAGCATATACAACTAATATACTATAATTTATTATTAAGATTCGATTATTTAAGAGTGAAAATGTAACTATTAACTATACCTAGGCTGAGTAAAATAACTGTTATGAGATTATCAATCAACGTACGATACGCATATGGCATATTATATCTGTATATTAAAAATGATGTTAATATATTATAGTTTATAATATTATATATTATAATATTTACCAAGATAGTTATACATTTGTTTATGTTTAAAAAAAAGATTTGATTTTAAATATTTACTTTTTCATTTTTTCTATTATAAATTGTTTAATTAAATACAATTTTTTACTGGCCTAAATTGTGTACCCTAATCAGAATAAAAGATTTTATATTTTACCATAAAAATCTATTATAATTGAAGGCTGAGGCCTGAGGCGCATAGAACCAAAACAGCAAAAGTGTTAACAATTTTTATACAGGATAGGTAGGTAATTAAAGTTTTGATTATTTTTCAACATTTATATATGTATAACTAATATTATTATTATTTCTAATAATAAATACAATTAAGTAAAAAATACAGTATTTCCAGTAATTAAAAATGTATCAACAATATGTTGACTAAGTTTTTAAATTTAAAGTGTTTTTGGTGTGATAGTTTATTAGTATAAACTTGGTTACACCACAGTCCACAGAATATATTAATTATTATATATTATTATGTGTTTAAAAGTTAATCAGTATGTTTATAATTTTAGTTCCAGTTATGATAAAACAATTGTAGGGAATGATATTGTATTTTCAATCTTGGTCCATGATTGGGCTTAATTTTAATATTTTCACCGGGCGTAAAAATTCTTAGTTCCGCCTCTGAGTATTATAATAATATCGTTATTACTGAACTATACTCTGTAATGGGAAATTGGCTGAAATGTATTTACTTATACTGAATTCGACAACTGATGTGTCAAATCTCGATCAATTTTATTTTATGTATAAGTGTTAAGTGTGTTGTACAAATGACGTGTTCATAAAACAGTGATTATTTTGTGTTGATAAAACTGTAATTTCAATATGAAATGAGATGTATTTATATAACTTATTTTGTAAAGTTTATGACAATTAATATAACTTAAATTGAAGGCAATATTCGACAAGCAATTATGATGGTTCATTTAATATGCAATTATTTTGAAAATAATTACGCTCATTAATACAAAATGAGTAGAAAAATAAAATGCAATATGTATCATATGGTGTAGCGCAAAATATTTGAATTTAACAGTAGTTGTTGATTACCTACAAGTCATCGTACTTGATTATCGGTGAAAATATTTAAATTTCATTGAGCGAATTATCTACTCAAAAGAATAACATACCAAAAAATACCATATCCGTACAATTTCCTAATTTTTATCACGACTTTATTGATAGCCAGAATAGTGTTATACCAGTATAGTTACAATACAAAAATAATTGAAAAGTTGCGGGCAATACATCTCCTGATCAATTAACAATAATAAAAAAAAAACCTACTGAAAAATAAGAAAATACATACCCCGTGTCCGAATCGAAATCTGCTATCAAACTTAGTCCTCCAAACACTGCAACGTTCACACATTTCATTCTGCTTATGATATTTTATACACAGTTGGCAAATTTTGACTGACGAATAATACCATCTCTGAAATAACACGCAGCGTGCAGTAAAATGTTCAACAATATTCAGATATTCTTATGAGTTATGACCTACGCGTTACAGATATTATATTTTATATGTATAAATGTATAATCTTTAATTTGTATTATACCTACCTAACTATTATGTGTTAGTTTGTATTTTAGAGCGGACTTCGGGAGCAATAAATGTTTTGATTTTACAATGATTTGTATATGATTCTCGTATAACGGTTTTCGTATTTTGTTGTTATTCAACAACTATAAACCGCCGGTATTTAAAATGTCCATCGAATGTTTAAACTATCATTTTCTATACATTATAAAATTTTCAAAATATTTTGAATCGTTTACAGTGATTTATAGACATTTGAATTATGAAATGTTTTTAGTTCTGTATTCTATAAATGTCAATAAAATTTTATTCGTTGGGTCAAAAAGCTTAAAAATAATACAAAGTTCCTCATAAGTTGATACAATAGCAGTTAAAAAATATTAAAAATATACAGGCACGTTTTTTGGGAACAAATCTAGTTTAGCGGCTCCTCGAAATTTAGATTTTTTTTTTTGAAACCTATTTAATTTGACGAGTTTAGAACGAAGGTGCAAAAATAAATTTTATGAAATCATTAGTTTTGAAGTTATAGACTGGCGAAGTTCACGATTTTCGGTGTTTTAGGCATGCTAGAAACGCTCTATCTTAACTCTCTTATAACGAATTTTTTTTTTATGCTAGAAATAAAAACTAGAATTAAATTGAATAAAATGATAAATCACTAAAAATAAAACAAATATTATGGTTACAAATTATTTTATAATATTGTTAGATTAAGAATATATTTATATTAAATCACTATTTAAACGCTCTTATAATGTGGGCAGTGATTACACAGCTAGCGGCAGTCGTTGCTGCGCTCCTCGGCGCAAATCGAAAATATACCGCGACTTGCTATGCAACACCACCTTAAGTAGGTTACAAGGTAAGTTAAGTCGTAGTATATGGGCAGTGATTACACAGTTAGCGGCACTATGTTTCCGAAAAAAATTAAAGAGCGTTAAAATATAGCGTTGCGCGCATGAGTAAAATAACGAAAATCGCGAACTTCACAAGTCTATAACTTCAAAACTAATCATTTTCGAAAATTTATTTAAGTTAATTTTTACAGACATTATAAGTTCAAATTTGGACAAAATTACTTATTAAAACAAAGAATAACGATTTTAGTTATTTTGTTGTAATTTAAAAATAGTAGGTATTCGTTGATTCATAAAACTTTTAGAGTATATTATCATAATTTATATTCACGATGACACTTTCAAAATATGTAATTTTTTGGGGCAAAAATGACTTTAACCTACTGCAGTGTACTAATGCCTAATAATCTGTAGTCAATGTGGTTATAATGATAATAAATTATTCCAATCAAATTTTAAATATTTTACGTTTTATTATTTTTTTATAGCGAAATATGATTTATTTTTTAACATATATTTTAGAAAAAATT